CGCCCCTCGTCGCGCAGGGGCTTTGCGAGGGTGGATGTGGGCCCTGACGGAGAGCGTCCAGGTTCCGCACTCGGCGCGGTGCGCGGGCGGACCGGGGCCCTGCCGTGCCCGCCCCTGGGACCGACGCCGAGCCGGCCTCACGCACCCTGGCCCAGAGCCGGTCCCCAGACCTGGGGGGAAATCTCGGCTCCGCCACCTGGTGATGACGTTGGCTCTGGCTCAGACGCACTTCTTTTCGGAACGAGGATGGCCACCTCCGAGGCCGGCCGCGGTGGCTCACGCCTGTAATCCCAGTGCTTTGGGAGGCCGAGGCGGGAGGATCGCTTGAGGCCAGGAGTTCAAGAGCAGCCTGGGCAACGTAGCGAGATCCCGCCGGAGGCTGGGGGGAGAATAACCACCTGCCAGGCATCAGGACAGCCGCGGGTGTTTCGGTCCTTCCTTCAGTCAGCGTCAGGAATCTTGGGCGGCAGAGTCCTGAGAACACTGCGGTGCTGTGAGGAGCGAGACCGGAGGGCCGCTCCGGAGGACGAGCTGGAGATGTGGGCGTGTCCTCTCCCCCGAGTGTTAAATTTCAGCAACGGTCTGCCTGTCCCCTTTAATCTGAGACGTTCAGACCTTCAGGAAAGTTGCAAGAATAGTGCACTGAACACTCAGGTGCCCTTCACCTCAGTTCAACAGTCGTTAGCATTTTGCTATATTTACTCCCTTGCTTTTTAAAAAATTATTTGAGAATTAATTGGAGATATCTTGACACTTCACCTTTAAATTTTGTTTATAGCCGGGCTCTGTGGCTCAGCCTGTCATCCCGCGCCTTTGGGAGGCTGAGGTGAGTGGATTGCCTGAGCCCGCGGGTTCGAGACCCGCCTGGGCAACTTGGGGAGACCTCATCTCTACAATAAATCAAAAATTAGCCGGGCGTTGTAGTGCTCGCCTGTAGTTCCAGCTACTACTCAGAAGGCTGAGGTGGAAGGATCGCCGGAGCCCAACAGGTGGAGGATGTGGCCGGGAGCGGCCACTGCAGTCTGGGTGACAGAGTGATACCAACTCAAAAAAATATATATATATATTTTTGTTTATTTATTTTTGAGTTGGAGTCTCACTCTGTCACCCAGACTGGTGTGCAGTGGCGCTCTCCTGGCCACCACAGCCTCGACTTGCTGGGCTCTGGCGATCGTTCCACCTCAGCCTTCCAAGTAGCCAGAACTACAGGCGCGCACTACCCTGCCCGGCTAATTAAATTTTATTTTATTGTTTAAGACAGGGTCTTACTCTGTTGCCCAGGCTGGAGTGCAGCAGCACCATTCCTGCTCACTGCAGCCTCTGCCTCCTGTGTCTCAGCCTCCCCAGTAGCTGGGATTATGGGCTCTGCCATCACACCTGGCTGATTTTTAAAAATTTTTTTGTAGAGATGAGGTCTCATTATGTTGCCCAGGCTGGTCTCAAACCCCTGGTCTCAAGCGATTCTCCTACTTTGGTCTTCCAAAGTGCTGGAGATTATAGGCATGAGCCACCATGTCTGGTCCACCTTTAAATTTTAATACAGTATAGGTCTCCCAAGAGCAGGGGCATCCTCCTTTAACATCTCAATAAATTATCACACTCAAAAAGTTTAATATTGATCAAGTCCTATTATTGAATGAACAGTCCATATTCAAATGTCTGGCTGTCCTACAAATGTTTCTGTTTCCTATCTTTTCTCTCATCCGGGAACCAACCAAGGGTGGGACATGACACTCAGTAATCCTGTCTCTTTGGTCTTCTCTTTGGATTTCTTTCATGACATCAATGGTTCATTCGTGGCAGAGGTATAAGGAGGTAAACTTGAGAGCAGAGGCTGTTCTTTTCATTTTCCTGTTCTCAGCTCAGAACAGAGCATGGCTCTGAATAGGCTAAATGCTTATGATGACATGAGGCTGCAGAGATGAGCTGGGAAGTTTGCCACTCACTTGTGGTGAGCCTAGAAGGTCTCGCCAGTCATTCAATCAACCCTTCTTGGCACTAGGTAGACACAATGAATAAAATTGACAGGATCCTGCCCTTGAGGAGCTTAGAGTCTAGTGATTTAGCCTTTAAGTTCAGTGATGTCTGTAGCATTGAAGAAGGGACTTAACCCAACCCAGGAGGAAGGGAGATAGAAAAAACTTCTGGAGCCAACAGCATTCAGAAGGACCCATGTCCTGTACTCCCACCCCCACCCATACCTAAAAAAGACGACTTTGAGCCAGGCAGGAGGATTTCGCTTGAGCCCAGGATTTCTAGGCTGCAGTGTGCCATGACCACAACTGTGACTAGCCACTGCACTCCAGCCTGGGCAACCTAGTGAGACCCCAGTGATGTTGGAGGATCTTCATAAACTCCCAAGTTGATGAGTCTTTGCTCCTCCTTCCAGATGCCTCAACTTAACCTAGTCTCATGATGTCTGAATCTAAGGAAGATAGATTCCTTGCTCATCTGCCTGTCCTCTATCCCAGGGACCTGGACTTGTGTTTTTTTGGTAGTTCTTCCTCATCCTGCCTGTACGTAAACACTTACTGGTAGATTTTATGTTGACTTGGGTTCGGCTGACACCATGTCCAGTTCGACTTTCTTCAGCACAGTGACAGAACACATAGGGGCTCGACAGAAGTTTGCTGACACGTGACTGAGACCGCTACTTAGCTTGTTTTGCTTCTGCCTTGAGGTTCCTTTCAGTACTTTCTGCATGGGGAAGAGAAATGTTTTTCAGTAGCTGAAAGGACTGCAGAGGAGCAATGGCCCTCTGAGGTGGGCTGCCAGGCTCCACATCAGGAGAGTCAAGTGCACCCTCGCAAGCCTTTCCTGCCTTTGTCCTATACTTTTGTCCTTTGTGGCTTGCAGGCCTGGGGCTGCTGGGGACTTGCAGTAGAGGAATGGAATCTTTCTGTATTTACTTGATTAACCCTATTAAGGCTCACCCCTCTGTCTGGTTGTTCATTGTGTTCCCCAAACTTCTGGCATATGCCTGTGCTCAGGAGGTGCTCAGGCAGCTGTGGAGTCAGCTACACAGATGCTTGGCAAGTGCCAGTCTCTCTTCTCTTGCTGCTGACCTGCCATCATCATTTCTTGCCTTTACCGGACCTAAATCATAACCATTCACAAGGAAGTCATGTTTCTATAAGTCACACTCCAGAGGGTCTTGTTAATTTATTAGTGCACTTGAAAAGTCACTCAGCCATTATGGAAAGTGCTGAAGGAATTAAGGTGAGTAGACCCTCTCCTTGGTCTTACATTTTTTTTTTTGAGTTGGAGTCTCACTCTGTCGCCCAGACTGGAGTGCAGTGGCCACTCCCGGCCACCGCAGCCTCAACCTGCTGGGCTCCGGTGATCCTTCCACCTCAGTCTTCCGAGTAGCCAGAATTACAGGCACGTGCTACCACACGCGGCTAATTTTTTGATTTTATTGTACAGATGAGGTCTCGCCTGCCCAGGCGGGTCTCGAACCCACGGGCTCGGGCAATCCACTCACCTCAGCCTCCCAAAGGCGCGGGATTACAGGCTGAGCCACCGAGCCCGGCTGGTCTTACATTTTTAAGGTGGGAAAAGCTCTTATTTGTAACCTTACCCATGGAGTATTTTGCTTTTTCTCCCAGAGGTTAAAGGCAGCAGTTCACTACACTGTTGGTTGTCTTTGCGAGGAAGTTGCAGTGGACAAAGAGATGCAGTTCAGCAAACAAACCATCGCAGCCATCTCAGAGCTGACTTTTCGACAGTGCGGTATGAAGCCACGTTCTTTCACTGTCTGTCTGTAAATCCCAAAGGTTGATTTTGTTGGGGAGTTACGTGTGGATGGGAGTTGTGGTGTCTGACCAGCAGACAGAGAACACAGTCATCATTGTGTACTCTTCATGAAACACTTCTGTTCTTGCCTGTAAGATTTGGATATTTTATGGGAGGAACAATTTTTTTCCTATTACGCTAACACTGGGGCATTAACACTTTTATTGTGTTTTAAACTACCCTGATGGCTGGAACATTAGACATTAAATTTTTTATTTCAATGCCTTATAACATTTTTATATCACTCATAGTTTATTTGACAGCTGAACTTGTGGCATTGGTATTTGCTTGACTTCAGAGGAAATTAATGTCTTCACAAGCCCTAGCGGTAGAAGAATTGAAAGTTAAAGGATTGTTTCTAGCAACCCAAGGTGTAGTCACAATCAATGGAAGGCTTGTAATAAAGGGTGGAGGGTTCTGGAAGGACCAGGAGGTCATCATGAGTACAAAAACCAAAGGCTGTTATCGCATGGCGGGTTGCTGGAAGTGCCCTCTCGCCTCTGAAAGGGTTTGTGGTATTAGTCATTGTGCCGACTGTAGAAATCAAGTTTGTCCTTGTCTTCCTTCGGAAATAGATTGGAGGTAAGGATAGCTAAAGCGAATGTCTTTTTTTCTCTTTCAGAACATTTTGCCAAAGACCTTGAAATGTTTGCGAGGTGGGTAGAGAATTGATCATCTGATGCTGTGTCTGTTTACATTCTTTTGAGACTCCATCTGGCAGTGTATTTCAGGAGAGCTGGAGCTCTTCGTTTTTTGTGTGTTTTGTGGAGGCTCCTCTCTAATCAAGATTCTGCAAGACTGTAATGTGTGCATTAATCACGTCGATTCAGACTTGTTTGGGCAATTTTTGAAGTTTTCTGAGTATGTTTTGTTAAAGAACCCAAGTTATTCAGTTCCAGGCTAAAAAGGCATGAATACTGTCTCCAGGACTCTGAATGTGTGTGCTGTGCCAGTTTTCAAAATCGTGCCTTTGGGTGGTTCGATTGCTCAGGGTGTGAGGGTGCCGGCGGCCACCCCTCCGAGTGGGCTGCGCTGGTGATTGCTCGCAGGTGTGAGGATAATGACAGCCCAGGCTTTCATCTGCCACATTTGTTAGGAGACACACTCCTTGGAAAGTGGGTGACTTGCTTTCAGCTGGTAAAGCTTTGGCTTTTACAGGTGATTTATGCTCGTCTCTTCAATTAGTACCTCAGGTAATTGAAAACAATTGCCACGGATTGCTTTTATGAAGCAATTTGAATGACTAAGGCCTGAAAGGCTAAAACTTTCTCATTTGCTGCCACTTCTGATTCGGTGCCAGCCTCTCCCACACCCCACACTTTTCACCTTGCTCCTGTGAGCTCTTTGTTTCTCGCATGCATATTTTGAATGAATTAAAGCAGCAGGTTCTCAGAGGGCAGGCTCTAAATCTTTCCTGTTCTTGTATATATTAGTCCCTAAAACCCGCTTAGCATCTTCAGCGTGGCCAGAGGGGAAGAGATGGTCTTTGAGGATCGGATAGCTCATATGGCTTATTCATTGTTAATTCAGGCGGTTGCCCCTTATGTGGGCCCCTCTCCCCACAAAAAACATTTATGACTTTTCCTTGCTATTTTTGTTAGCCGTGGAAGAAGACAGTGAAACCTTTAAAATACTTTTGTAAAACTTCTGGAGACAAAAATGAAATTAGAAACATCTAGCATAGTAACACATTAAGTTTTCAGATATTTTGTGTTTTTTATAATTACATAAAAGGTTGATTTTCTTTCTTTCTTTTTTTTTGAGTCGGAGTCTCACTCTATCGCCCAGACTAGAGTGCAGTGGCACGCTCCCAGCCACCGTAGCCTCGACCTGCTGGGCTCTGGCGATCCTTCCGCCTCAGCCTTCCAAGTAGCTGGAACTACAGGCACGCGCTACCATGCCCGGCTAATTTTTTTTTTATTTATTATAGAGATGAGGTCTTGCCAAGTTACCCAGGTGGGTCTTGAACCCGCAGGCTCAGGCAGTCCACTCACCTCAGCCTCCCAGAGTGCGGGATTACAGACTGAGCCACCGAGCCCGGCTAGGTTGATTTTCTTTTGCTGGGTAATGGGGTAGAGGGAACTAGAGTGTCTGTGAGAGAGGTGGGGGGAGAGAGACAAAAAACTTAGACCGACCAGACTCGGTGGCTCTGCCTGTAATCCCACGCTTTAGGAGGCCGAGGTGAGTGAATTGCCTGAGCTTGTGGGTTCGAGACCCACCTGGGCATCTTGGTGAGACCTCATCTCTATAATAAATCAAAAAAAAAAATTAGCTGGGCATGGTAGCGCACACCTGTAGTTCCAGCTACTTGGAAGGCTGAGGCGGAAGGATCACCGGAGCCCAGCAGGTCGAAGCTGCGGTGGCCGGGAGCGGCCACTGCACTCCAGTCTGGGCGACAGAGTGAGACTCCAACTCGGAAAAAAAGAAAAAAGACTTAGACCATAAGCTTCACGAGGAAGGACATCATCTTTGACATGAAAGCGTTTGCAGAAGGACTGTCAAGTGCTGTGTTCTAAGCCTGTGACTACAGAGACTTTTTAGGCTGCAAGTGATGCCTCATCTTCAGCAGTACCCATGTGCGTGTCCAGCGCTCCTTGGACGTCCTGAGAACTGAGCGAGTGCAGAGCCCATGATGAGGCCCTCATGAGTGTAGGGCACAGCTAGAGGAAGATGCACTCCTTCTTTCTTGCACTATCCTCAAGTGCAGGTTTGACTCATCCTTTGTCTGAATTTTAGGTTCGTTTTCATGATATTCCAGTTTGCCTTTATGTGGAAAATTATTGTTTTGAGGTTTATTCCTAAATAAGATTGATATTCTCAAGTCAGCTTTGGTTATCCTGTGGCTTTGAGTTGTCCCTGTCACACTGTCTCTACTCCCAAGGCATGATTCCCCAAGTTTGAGAAATCTAAAATATGTGTTGTTTCAGGTCAATTATGTATTAAATAGTCTTTGTAGGCTGCCTGGAAACCTAACCTGTATTTGTAACATTGTTTCTAGGAGAAAGTGATTCTAAATAATCAAGTCACTGCCATCTTTGGAAAACCAGCTCCCAATTTAGGTTGTGAATTTCCTTTATTTATCCTTGAAATCGCTTGTCTCCTAACATTGTTAGTATGTTAAAGGTCAAACATTTTGAAGGAGATATTCTACAGTAAATAAATTCTAGGGACATTTGGGGATCATCTTTAAAACCTGTGTGCAATGCTGGGCGTGGTGGCTCAGGCCTGTAATACCAGCACTTTGGGAGGCCGAGGTGAGAGAATTGCCTGAGCTCAGGGATTTGAGACCAGCCTGGGCAAGTTGATGAGACCTCATCTCTACAATAAATAAAAAAATAAGCCAGGCGTGGTAGCACATGCCTGTAGTTCCAACTACTTGCAAGACTGAGGTGAAAGGATTGCCTTAGCCCAGCAGGTCAAGGCTGTGGTGGCCATGAGCTTGGCACCACACTCCAGCCTGAGCAACAGAGTGAGACTCCAACTCAAGGAAAAAAAAAACAAAACCTGTGTACAGCCTGGTGTCTTAAGCCTGTAATCCCAGCACTTTGGGAGACCAAGGTGAGGGGTTTGCCTCAGCCCACAAGTTCGAAACCAGCCTGGGCAACTTGGCAAGACCTTGTCTCTACAATTAAAAAAAAAAAAAAATTAGCAGGGCATGGTGGCATGTGCCTGTAGTTCCAGCTACTTGGAAGGCTGAGGCAGAAGGATCGCCTGAGCCCAGCAGGTTGAGGCTGCAGTGGCTGTGAGTGTGCCACTGCACTCCAGCCTGGGCAACAGAGTGAGACTCCAACTCAAAAACAAAACAAAACAAAAACCCTGTGTGCAAAGAGTGTTATATGAAAAATTGCTTTATTATTTTCCCTGGAGTAGGAGAGTCTCTGATGGGCAGTGGCTGCACAGAGCACACCTGCCCTTCAGCCTGGGAAAGTGTTGCCGGGTTCCCAGAGACCAGGCTGAGTGTTAGAGGAAACTGAGACTGTTGCTTCCTAAACACTTCCTTGGGAGTAGAGGCACTCACTCTGAAAACAGTTCAGTGTGCTTGCTCCTTTGACTGCACTTTAAGAAGAATGTCAGTACAGACAGAGCAGCCTGGCTGTGTGACTGAGACTGGGCCACATTGTGTCCATGGGCAGGCACTTAGTATTCCCTGCCCAGAACATCTGTGAACTGGCCTTACACTGTGTGGCTGCTGTTATGTTACCTTCTGTCTGACTTTGTTCCTTCTCTGCCCTGGTCCTTGCAGGCTGCTAATTACAGGTTATCTCATTGTCAGTCATGATGACACGCAATATTTGTACATTTAGCAGGATGTGAAGGATTAATTTGGCCAAATTATGGAGAATCATTTATGTGTGTGATTTTTCTTTTTTTTTTTTTGAGACAGAGTCTCACTTTGTCGCCCAAGCTGGAGTGCAGTGGCATGCTCACAGCCACTGACCTACCTGTTGGTCTCAGGTGATCCTTCTGCCTCAGCCCTCCAAGTAGCTGGAACTACAGGTGCATGACACCACGCCCTGCTAATTTTGCAATTTATTGTAGAGACGAGGTCTCACCAAGTTGCCCAGGCTGGTGTCAAACCCCTGGACTCAGGCAATCCTCTCACCTCAGCCTCCCAAAGTGCTGGATTACAGGCTTGAGCCACCATGCCCGGCCAACTTTTCTTTAAGTCAGCAGGTATTCAGTGAGGACTCACTATGTGTGCTGGCCTCTTTGCTAGATATGAAGGATACAGAGATTCCTACTTATTCCTGCTTGCAAAGTTCCACTTATTTGATGGGACAGTTAGATGACAAGAAAGGGTGTATTCAGAGTAAGAAATTCCTGAATAGAGTTTATGATCTCAAATTGTCTTTCTTTTTTGAGTTGGAGTCTCGCTCTATCGCCCAAACTGGAGTGCAGTGGCATGCTCCCAGCCACTGCAGCCTTGACTTGCTGGGCTCCGGTGATCCTTCTGTCTCAGCCTTCCTAGTAGCTGGAACTACAAGCGTGTGCTACCACCCCCGCGCCTGTAGTTCCAGCTACTTGGAAGGCTGAGACGAGGTCTTGCCAAATTTCCCCGCGCTGGTCTCAAACCCGTGGGCTCAGGCAATCCATTCGCCTCGGCCTCCCAAAGTGCTGGGATTATAGACTGAGCCACCGAGCCCGACCACCACATTGTCTTTCATAGCAAAGAGAAGAGGACTTGGCATGAGAATTGGAGTCAAACAATACACAGTTGTGAGCAATACACAGACTCCAGTTTAAAGAACGTTCTTTGTTCTACCTGGGATGTTGGGAAGGAACACACTGACTACTTGTTGGGAAATGGGGCTTTTTCTTGTAAGTCAGCCCTTGGTGAAGAGCTTCAGGATCTTAGCCTAAGTAAAGCCATGCTTTGGGGAGATGAACTTTGCTCTTCTGTTTAATGTTTGTTTAAGCAGAGGCATTGCTATATTGTGAGGTTCATTTTCTCTACACTGAAATTGTGCTTGCTTTTTCTGTGGTGTTCCCTGTGACCAAGCAAGTCGCTTTTGGAAGGGCGTCAACTTCTCAGGCTCCTTTCTGTGTTCTTTTTCATCAAACACTCTTGGTCCCCAGGCAAAGGTGGACAGATGGGCTTCTGCTGTTTCTTGCTCTCTTTACTTAATTGGGGTCTTGCCTAGTAACTTCACTCATTTTTGTGTCACTGTTGCTTAATGACCTTTATCAAAACAGATGGGCTACTTAGTGATCCTTGCTATTTTGAAGTCTGACCGTGAACTCTTGTGTTTCATCAAAACTTTAAATACTACCACACACTTTGGTGACTTGTTTCTGCCCTCTCTACAGACATGCGAAAAGAAGCACAATTAACACTGAAGATGTGAAGCTCTTAGCCAGGAGGAGTAATTCACTGGTGAGAGATGAATTTCTTTCTTCACTCCCCTTTCCCATCAGAATACATTATTCCCAATTAATCACTTGAAGCCATGAAGTTATTCCCCAGGGCACCTTGCATTAAAAACTAGAGATGGTTGAACCATTCAGACCTGCCTGTAATTTATAGTCTTTCTTTCATTATGATGGATCTTGCTAAGCCAATTTGAAATTTTCTAATCAGCACTCTGGATTTTATAATTTGCCTTTTTTGTAATATCTCAAAACTTTGGTCGCATGTTTCATTTAAACATGATATCAGAGACAGGCTAGAGTCTGTGAGGATAGTTTTGTTATGGTGATCTCAGTTCTCCTGATGGCCCAGGTATGGAAGGAGTATCTGTATGGCTGGATACGCAGAAAGCATGTTTTCCACCTTAGAAATCCTCTTGCCCGAGTCCTCATTCTTTAGGTGAAGACACTGGCACCCAGAGGTGGTGTGATCATACAGGCCAGGGGCTTTGACCAGTGGCAGATCCAGGACACTGGGGAGGGCTCCTGACTGCATCTAATGCTAGAAGTTGAAACACTTGTTGGCTGGGCTCGGTGGATCAGCCTGTAATCCTGCACTTTGGGAGGCTGATGTGAATAGATTGTTTGATCCCGCAGGTTTGAGACCCACCTGGGCAACTTGGTGAGACCTCATCTCTACAATAAATCAAAAAACTAGCCGGGTGTGGTGGCGTGTGCCTGTGGTTCCAGCTACTTGGAAGGCTGAGGCAGAAGGATCGCCAGAGCCCAGCAGGTCCACTCCTGGCCACTGCACTCCAGTCTGGGCGACAGAGTGAGACTCCAACTCAAAAAAACCCCAAAAAACAAAAAAAACCCACTTGTCGGCTCTGCCTGTAATGTGGGCTCCACAGGGGCACAGGCTTCATCTCTTTGTTCTTTGCTCTGTGTTGCCCAAAATAGTGCCTGGGGCACAGGAGGGGATCAGTAAACAGCTGTTGAATGAATGAATTTGTGCAGCACTTTCCAGTGTACTGGGGCTTTTGTAGATACTATTTTATATATATTATTCAATCTTCATCGCTACCCTACATGTTTTTTTGGTTTTGGTTTTTTTTTTTTAGTTGGGGCCTCACTCTGTCACCCAGGCTAGAGTACAGTGGCATGATCATGGCTCACTGCAGCCTCCACCTCCTGGACTCAGGCAGTCCTTTGCCTCAGCCTCCCAGGTAACTGAGACTACAGGTATGTGCCATCATGCCTAATTTTTTTTTTTTTGAGTCAGAGTTTCACTCTGTCACCTAGGCTGGAGTGCAGTGGCATGCTCATGGCCACTGCAGCCTCGACTTACTGGGTTCAGGTGATCCTTCCACCTCAGCCTTCCAAGTAGCTGGAACCACAGGCATGCATCACCACGCCTAGCTAATTTTTTGATTTATTGTAGAGATGAGGTCTCGCCATGTTGCCCAGGCTGGTCTCAGACTCCATGGGCTCAGGCAATCCTCTCACCTCAGCCTCCCAAAGTGCTGGGATTTCAGGTGTGAGCTACCGTGCCTGGCTGCCTGGCTAATTTTTAAAATTTTTTGTAGAGACAAGGTCTCGCTATGTTGGTCTCAAACTCTTGGGCTCAAGCAGTCCTCTCACCTTAGCCTCCCAATGTGCTAGAATTACAGGCATTAGCCACCATGCCTGGCGCCTATATGGTTTTTAATAATATAATAGATCAGCTCCATTTTACAGGCTTGGCAACTGAAGTTAAGCTACTTCCCCAAGTGAAACAGGAAGCTTTGTGGTGGATAGCTAAGCCTCTGACCCCAAACCCAGTGCTGTTTCCAACATGTTCTTTTCTGCTCTCCTCTCCTAATATAACCAAGGTTATGGGTGATATGATTCTTAAGTAAAACAGCTAAGGGATTTTGCTGAAATAAGTGATTAGCTAAGATAGCTTGGTGATTCTGTGTATTAGTGGAAAAGCATTCCTCTTCATTTGTGTGCAGGGTCATAATTGGTTTTTGGTCTGTTTCAGTGAACAGTTGCTATCTTTTGTAAAGGAATGATCAGTTTAACTCATCTTAGAATGTCAATTCAGAAGTCATCTGCTTATTGTATGTTGGTTTACTTCAGAATATTGTTTTATGTTGGACTCTTAATTTTTTTGCTCTAATAGAACCTCATTACTGAAGAGTGCAGCTACATGTGTGCATTTGACCAAGTCCTCTGTGAGGGCAGGGCCTTGTTTTGTCTCCCCAGTACCTAGTACATAGTAATTGCTCAGCAAATTTTAGTTTGATAAATTTAGGGGAATGTTAATTATACTTGTGCTTTGTAAAGTATATTTGTGATTGGCATGCTTTCTACAAGCTTCAAAACTTTAATTCTTTTGATTGCTCAAGGAACCCTTACATTGAAGTACACTGCTTGGAAGGTATGTGACTAGCAGTGAGTTGATTTTTGGAGTTGATTCCCCTTTCTAGAAAAATTTTTTGTTTGTTTTTGAGTCAGGGTTTTTCACTCTGTTGCCCAGGCTGGGGTGCAGTGGCATGATCAGGATGATCATGGCTCACAACTGCCTCGACCTCCTGGGCTCAGGCGATCCTTTTCTGTAGAGATGAGGTTTTGCAATGCTGCCCAGGCTGGTCTCAAACTCCTGGACTCTGCACTCCAGTCTGGGTGACAGAGTGAGATTCCAACTCAAAAAAAAAATGGGCTGGGCTCGGTGGCTCAGCCTGTAATCCTGCGCCTTTGAGAGGCTGAGGTGAGTGGATTGCCTGAGCCCGTGGGTTCGAGACCCGCTTGAGCAGCGAGACCTCATCTCTACAATAAATCAAAAAATCAGCCGGGCGTGGTAGCGCATGCCTGTAGTTCCGGCTACTTGGAAGGCTGAGGCGGAAGGATCACCGGAGCCCAGCAAATTGAGGCTGTGGTGGCCGGGAGTGGCCACTGCACTCCAGTCTGGGCGACAGAGTGAGACTCCAACTCAAAAACGAAAACAAAAACAAAAGGTTTACAATAAGATATAGATACAGTTTTGTTTTGTTTTTTTTCCAGCTAAAATATATCACAGAGAAAAGTGAAGAGATTGCTCAGGTTAACCTAGAACGAAAGGCACAGAAGAAAAAGAAGTTAGAGGATGGAAACAAAACTTCAAGGGAGCCAGCAGAGGCTGAAGTAGAGGAAAGTGAGGATTAAACACCCTCGCTGCTTGGAAGATGCAGCCTGCAGCAGGTAGAGCCCTCTGGAAATGTATATTGCCACCGAGGGAATTTTGAAGGAATGCGAAGATGGAAAAAAAAAAAGCTCAGCGGTGTTTTGTGTTGTATCCCCAAGTCACTAGCTACAAAAACTCATTTAAAAGAGAACTGGAAACTCTCAAATAAAATACTTCATGTCTCCCTCAAGCATATAAAGAAGGTGTGTGTTTGAAGCATATGAATCAGAAATTATATCTATTGCAGTTAATAAAACTGTGTTAGCAATTATTAAACATGGTCAACTTTTTCAAGCGGAAATCAGGTATTCATTCTTTGATGTAATTTTCTAGGCTAAACAATAATGTCTGAAAGATGAATAAGGCTATGTTTATTTAGTTCTTCTTACTACTAATCAGTTTTGTTTTTAAAGATGTCACCTGTGGTCACCAGGCAAAAGGGCATATGTTTGAGAATGGTCTTTATTTTTCTTTTATAAAAGGACAGCCTTTTATTTTTATTTTTTTGAGTCAGAGTCTCACTCTGTTGCTCAGGCTGGAGTGCAGTGGCACGCTCACAGCCACTGCAGCCTTGACCTGCTGGGCTCAGGCCATCCTTCTACCTCAGCCTTCTGAGTAGCTGGAACTACAGGCATGTGCCACCACGCCTAGCTAATTCTTTGATTTATTGTAGAGACGAGGTCTCACCAAGTTTCCCAGGCTGGACTTGAACCCCTGGGCTCAGACAGTCCCCTTGCCTCTGCCTCCCAAAGCACTGGGATTACAGGGCAGAAGTTTTGCTTGAAGGGAGCATCTGATACTGCTGCCCAAGAGCCCCTTGGTATGTTGTCTGTTTCCATTGGTGAGAGAGGATGCTCCCAAGAGCGCCAGTTCTCCTGTCGTCTCATGTCTTGAGGGTTTCTTGGTGGTCCAGTTATACCCTCCCCCATGGGGCCGTGGGGTAAAGGAAAGGGTAGGCATTTACAGAGCCATCTATGTGCCAGGCATAGCACTGGGTGCTCCATTTATTGCCTCCCTGATCTCCACAACTTTGTCAGGGTAGGTCTGACTCTCCCCATTTTCCTGATGAAGCTTGATGAGGTTAACCATCTGCCCAGGATCACTGGACTACTGGTCAGTAGAGACAGTATTCACATTCAGGATGCGTACTCTAGAGTGGGTGACAGAGAAGGGCATTTGGATAAAATTTATACCATCTGTGCCCAGATATGATCACAGCACCCTGAGGCCTGACTCTCAAAGGGCAGTGCTAAGCTGTGATCATAGTCAAGCCCTAAATTCAAGCTACTTGGTTTCAGGTCTGCAGAGAACTAATCGTTTGGTCTCATTTATATTCATATATATATGAAATTTATTTGTTTTTTGAGTTGGGGTCTTACTCTGTTGCCCAGCCTGGAGTGCAGTGGCACAAATTTGGATTGCTACAGCCTTGACTTCCTGAACTCAGTCCTTCTTTCTCAGCCTTTTGAGTAGCCGGGACTGCCTACATGTGTGCACAACCACACCAACTAATTTTTATTTTTTATAGAGACAAGGCCTAGCTATTTCGCCCAGGCCTGCCTTGAACTCCTCCTGGACTTAAGTGGTCCTCCTGCGTTGGCCTCCCAAAATGCTGAGATTACAGGTGTGAGCCACCACGCTCAGCCTTGATCTAATATATTAATTATAATATCTGTGTGTCACATCAGTGAAAGAAAAGCAAATCATAAAGCCTTCCATCCTCATCATACATTCAGCCAAAGACCCATATGTTAGCAATTTCATTTTTGGATAAGCTTTCTTTAAATTCCTTATTAGCTGGGCGCAGTAGCTGGTGCCTATAACCCTAGCCACTTGGGAGTCTAAGGCAGGAGAATCGCTCTAGCCTGGGTGACATAGCAAGACCCTGTCTCTAGAATGAATGAATGAATAAATCTATAAATAAATGCAACTTCTCCTCAAGAAAAGTTTAGGGAATAGACACCATAGACTTGCCAAGGCTGAAGGAGCTAGATTTGCATCTTGGGCTTACAGCTGTAGCAGCTGTGTGACTTTCTGAAACTTAGTGCTTTTATCAGTGAAATAGGGTTAAATATGAGGTTGTATGGGACGATAAAAGGAAATGAGTAGAACTGTTATAACACGTTACTTTATAGATTCTTGTAGCTCCCAAGTTTCAGTCTATGCATGACTTGAAATGGTGGGACTGTGTATTCTGTGGGCATCCTGTCTGATAGGGTTGTAGAGGGACTTCCTAATTGGCATGGGTATTTTGATGTAGAAGTGTTCTAGCCAGATGAGAAAACTGACTTAATATTCATGTAGTACTTCTGGCTTATTTGGCATACTTAGCACCACCTGTGTATATTCCTAGGTATGTTCTTATAAGACATTTTTTTCAGGGATTACAGCACAGGGATGGTCAGACTTTGTAAGAAACGTCTTTGTAAGCTGACTCCAATCTCCATATTCTCGTGAGCTCCCCCACACATCCCAGTTAGGGTTTAGTTTACTCTGCATGTCCAATGCCATGTCCGTCATCCTTGATAATCCCTTCTTTGGTGACAGGTGGCAGAAAGGTCTTCTAGAGGCTTTTCTTATGGGCATGCTTCCTCAGAGTCCTGGAAGTACCTCTGAACCTTCACTAGACCTGCAGATGACTAACCATATAAAGAAGTGAATGTCTTTGAAATAAATGTGGTCTAGTAACACAGTTAGGGTAACTTACATTTAAAATATTTACCCTCCTGCTTACCACAATTCCTCAAAAAGCTTGAAATTAAAGATCCTTGTTGCTGACCTTAACTGGATCCAGGGAGGTTTCAGAGGATCTCCTGTACACAGCCATGGCTGGAATACATGGGGAGAGGTGATATATATATCTATTATATATATATAAAATACAGCTGATCTCTTCAAAATCCAGATGTCCAGGACAGGTTAACTGGGGCACGCTTATTCCCTTCATTGAATTGTGGAATCTACAATGAACTCAGAGGTCATTGAATGTCATCTCCCTACTATTCTACAGCATTCCTAACATATGCTTCCCCGGCTCTTGAACTCTACCGGGGACAGAGAGCCCTTGCCATTATTGGACACTGACTGTTACAAGAAAAGTCTTGGCCGGGTGTGGTGGCTCACACTTGTAATCCCAGCACTTTGGGAGGCTTAGGTGGGAGGATTGCTTGATGCCAAGAGTTTGAGACCAGCCTGGTCAGCAAAGCAAGGTTCCGTCTCTACCAAAAAAAAAAAGAAAAGAAAGAAAGAAAAATTAGTGAGGTGTGCTGATATGCATTTGTAGTCCCGGCTACTTAGGAGGCTAAGGTGGGAGGATCACTTGAGCCCAGGAGCTCGAGGCTACATGCCACTGTGCATTTGCAACAGAGTGAGACCCTGTCTCAAAAAAAGAAAAGGCTTTTACCTTCTAGCTTCTGTCTAGGTCCTAGTTCTGCCTTTTAGGATAAGCAATCTTTATTTTTCAAAATAGTTCAGTATTGTGTTCCTATTAATTCAAGTTCCCATTATTTGTCTTTCCAGGGATCTCATCTGGTCCTCACAGCAACTCTTAGGAGGCAGGTGGTAGGTAGTTTTTTAAGTCCTCATTTTATGGAAGAGGAACCGAGACTTTAGTCTAGAGTCCTCACTAGATATGTTGCCACCTTCTCAAAACAGTCTGTCAAGTCTCTTGAAGCCACCCCACTTATTATCCCATGAAAATGTCCTTTTTTGTCATCTGTATGTTTGCACACTCTTCCTTCTAGGGTGCAACAGCTCTGTCAGGGTGTGGGTGGCATGGGTCTTTTGTATAAATGCAAGTTCTGTGCATAGTGGGTGCTCAGAATGTTTAATGAAAAAATCATTAAATAAAATCAGCAAAATACACCAAGGATATAAGAAGCTGACTGAGCTGCTGTGAATTTCTCACCTGCAAGACTACCTCAAAGCTTTGCTATTTGTGTGTATTATTTTAAGCAAATAGAAACATGATTTTCGTACAGAAATAAAGGACATCTTAGCAGTGGATCACTCCACTAAAAAGGGGGGAAAAAAGGGTAAAGGAACTTACAGTGTGTGAATCACAGGTTGTCAGACCATGCTAATCTTACCTAGAACCTTACCATAATCAGGCAAAAAGACTGACATGAAATTCAAGACTGTAGTTTCTCTCATGAAGAGGTGTCAGCCAGGACTTTGGCAAACAGGAAAAAAATGTGTTCAACTCTGGAAAGAGCCATCAGTGCGTAGACTGCATTATTTCAGTGTTGAGTCTTGTCTTGGATGCTGGTCATCTTTAGTGCGTTTGGTTGTATGTTCACATTTCACTAGCTGCCTCAGTTGGGCGAAGGGGTCTGTGCATTTGTCTTTGTGATTTGGAAACTAGGACCTGTGAGGAACAGCCAGCAGGTGGCACAGAGAATTCCCTGTTCTGCCCTCCATCAGTGACACCATCCTTGGGAAAAGCGTGTGCCTTGGGAGCTGTCCGAGGCAGGATAGGGCACTGCCTCTCAACCTATGACCGTGACCTGCAGTAACATACATCTTACACCTGACACACACAGTGGGAAACGTGATTTATCCTTACTACATGTGATGCACTCGAACATCTGTTTCCCTCAAAAAGAAAAGAAAAGTGCTGGTCTATGACCCAAGCAGGGGGTTAGTCCCAGTATGGAAAACACTGGCCTAGAGCCCGGCTGCTCCAGGGCCACCATCACCTGGGACCTTGTTGGAAAAACCGATTTCGGCTCCTCCCTGCACCCCCCCCATCAGAATCTGTACCCGTGGCAATCTGTGTACACTTCACAGCTTGAGAAGGCCTGGCCTACAGGATGGCTGGGCTGAGGCAGGGTGGGGGCGCTGCCTCATGGGTCCTCCTTGCCCGCCATTTGGCGAAACCTGTGGATGCTGTCAGAGCGTCTCTGAGTCCACACCACTTCCTTGCTTCTTCTGCCGTAGGAGATTGTCATACTTTTATATGGGCACAATTTCACATTTAAGCTCCTTATCCAAAGTTAATTTTATATTATGCTAAATCACTTGTTTTTGTTCTCATGGCTTCCTGCTTGCTATAGACATAATTACAAGGAAGTAGAACTTCTTCAGAACAAGCGCACATGTATTCCAAAATAAGAACAGATTCACTCTAAATGCAGGAAAAGACCTGAGGCTTTAATTAAGGGGTTAGGTCCAATCCCCGAACGCTTTTGTGGGCACTGATTGCTCAGACTTATGCGTCACTGCATGTGAGGAAAGAGGGGTATGGGCTTTAGTCATGGAGAGGCACACACACACACACAAAAAAAACAGCTGGAGGCTGAGCTTAAAATACGGGCTGGTTGCAAAGAAGAGACCCAAATCCACAAAGCATAGATTTCGGGGCTGCCAGGAAGAACAGCAGCAGGGCAGGAGAGAAGTGCCAGCAGCCTGCAGGATGCCACTGCCTCCCGGCCTCCTTCTGCTGCTGCTCTCGGGGGCCACAGCCATGGCCACCACTGCCCTGACCCTGGACGACGGCCCCACGGGCCAAGCCAGCGAGGTGAGTACAGTTCCCACTGTTTTGCTGGTATTCCTGGCCGTGCCTGTGGAGTCACCATTAGATAATGGTGAAGGTGTGTGCGCGTGTGCTGCTATTCACAAGTGGGACAGGACACAGGGCTGAACCAGGTAGTGTCCTCAGCTGACCCGTGGGACTGTGGTGTTGCATTCAAACCACTGGCTCTTAATTATCTTCACTTGGCCCAACCTTATGGAGTTGGTCAGAAACCTCTGCAGCTCCTGCCAGTGCTCCACCTGCTAGCCTGTGAAATGTGAAGTGACTGTACCAGTCTATTGTGGTGCAGTCATGGAGCTGTGACGGCTGCCTGTATTAGTCACATGGACTTCCAGAGCCTTAATTTATATATACAGCACAGGCTGTCACTGGCTCAGACTCACTGACATCGTTATATTTTCACTTGTGAAAATTTGTAACTTCACGAGGCGATTGATTTTTCTTTTTTCCATTTTGAAAAAGTTCCAAGAAAGAGTACATAAAGTTGACCATTAAAAGTGAATTTTTCTCTGAAATTACCCTATGAGTTGCAGACAGGTCATTTATCATCAGATGACTCCCCCAGCTTTCTAAGGAATTGGAAAGACCAGAATATAACTCAATACGCTCTGTCTCAAAGAGCAGCTCATGGATGCTCAGGAGCATGTCCAAAGAGGAAAAACAAGCTGAGTCAACCTGGTCCACCCCAGGGCTTCTTAGCTGCCAGTCATGTGGGGGAAAATGGGAGATTTCCTGACCTCTTCTACTGAAGACCTCAGCAAAGATAACGGGGCAAGACCAGTCATTTCTTTTCCTTGACTGAAAATGATTAACTTTTCCTTTTCTATAATTAAAGCAGTTTCTTTAGGTATTCTCCCAACTTTTTCATCCTTTACATGCAAATGGATTGTTATGGAGCATCTTTTTTCCTTCTTAACGTGTGTCTCTTAATGCTGGCTGAGGCTGATTGTTGATTTCTCTTTTCTTGAAAAGCGTATGCAGGAAGCGGCAGAAATAAAGCAAAGCAGCCTCTTGACTTTCCTTGCCTGGTGGTTCGAGTGGACCTCCCAGGCCAGTGCGGGGCCACTCCCAGGAGGGGAAGCCAGGGAGGTGTCCAAGCGGCCAGAAGGCCCGCCCCTCCAACAGTCCACACGCCAGGATAGAACACCCTGCAAGAACTTCTTCTGGAAGACCTTCTCCTCCTGCAAGTAAAGCCCCACCCTGATTACTCATGCAAATAGTGTAATGATGGACTTGAATAAAATGTATTAAGCACTACTCTTTCCTCTTTTTTTTTTTGAGTTGGAGTCTCACTCTTGTTACCCAGGCCTCGACCTGCTGGACTTAGGCAATCCTTCCGGAACTACAGATGCACACCACCATGTCCAGCTAGTTTTTGTGATTTATTGTAGAGACAAGGTCTCACCAGGTTGCCCAGGCTGGTCTCGAGCCCCCAGGCTCAGGTAATCCTCTCGCCTTGGCCTCCCAGAGTGCTGGGATTACAGGCTGAGGCACTGCGCCCGCCGATCTTTCCACTTTCGGTAGTTTCTTCTCCTTCCCAAGTCACTTGAAAAACATTTTAAGTTTGAATTCCAATAAATTCCAAAGACACCTAATACTGACACATGTCTCCAGTAATTTGGAACCCAAAGTGAAGATTTTTGTGGTTTTGCCAGACTACTCAATGCAGCCTCTGGGCTCTCCTTCTGACCTTCATGATGGACTTGTTATGTCTTTGATTTAAAAAAGCTGAAGTTAACATAATTAAGTTTTCAGAATAACATTTCAGTTTGTTTTGATATGAATTGTCCAATTAAAAAAATATTTCCCTCACATGAAAAGCAAATTTTTAACATTGTGCTCAAAGAGCAAAATGATTAGTCCTCATGTTTTAGCTGAAATTAATTTTAAAACAAATGTTATGCTATTAAAGAAACAGCATGCTGACATGCTTATAAAAGTTATCTTCGAGCTTGCTGATATATACCAGTTTTAATTAGCAACTTAATATTTGTTAAAATTCCTTTCATGGATTCTAGTTTAGGTTTCCTTGGTGAGGAATGAAGTCTCCTTACAGTATTCTTTTTTTTTTTTTGAGTTGGAGTCTCACTCTGTCGCCCAGACTGGAGTGCAGTGGCCGCTCCCGGCCACCGCAGCCTCGACCTGCTGGGCTCCGGCGATCCTTCCACCTCAGCCTTCCGAGTAGCCGGAATTACAGGCATGCGCTACCACGCCCAGCTGATTTTTTGATTTATTGTAGAGATGAGGTCTCGCCTGCCCAGGCGGGTCTCGAACGCGCGGGCTCAGGCAATCTACTCTCCTCAGCCTCCCAAAAGCACGGGATTACAGGCTGAGCCACCGAGCCTGGCTCCTTACAGTATTCTTTCAAACCAGATGCAGTGAACCCTGCTGCCACCCAGCTTGTGGCCTGCTCACCTTAACTCCTAACACAAGGACCCCAGTCTCAGTATCTGGACTTCAATCAGTGACAGATGGACATGCACTGTGTGTATAATTGTCATTCTAATTTCCTCATGCCACAGAAATTTCCAGTGAATAATGACTAACTGAGGGGCAAGTCCATGCTCTGTGCTGTGGTGTAGAGTAACTACTGAGTCCCAAATTGGGATATGATTCTGCTCAAATGATGATAGAAGCCAGGTGTGGTGGCTCACACCTGTAATCCCAGCACTCTGGGAAGCAGAGGCGAAAGGACTGCCTGAGCCCAGGGGTTCAAGACCAGCCTGGACAACTTGGCAAGACCTCAGCTCTACAATAAATAAAAAAATGAGTCGGGCATGGTGGTGCATGTCTGTAGTTCCAGCTACTTGGAAGGTTGAAGCGGAAGGATCACCTGAGCCCAGCAGGTTGAGGCTGCAGTGACCGTGAGTATGCCACTGCACTCTAGCCTGGGCAAGAGTGAGACTCTTACTTAAAAAAAAAAAATTTTTTTTCAGAGACATGCTCTTGCTATACATGTCCAGAGTTGCTGGGATTACAGGCATGAGCCACCATGCCCAGTGTAGATGCTAAACTTTGAAGCTTAGCGATCTATACCTGGAGTTTCAGAAAGTTTCTGCCAGTCAGGCCTAATACTGGGAAAACCAGAAGAGCACGGGGAACATTATTCTCTTCTCTGGACATCAAGGGAGCAGACTCACTGAGTATGACTGCTTACATTCCCTTCTGTCTTCCACGAAGCTGAGCTCATATTCATAATTACTAGCTGAATAAGGCATAATGAGATGAAAAAGACTTAGCAGCATCCACACTTCCAAACACAGCAGCTTTAGGCGATCAGTAATGGGTCAGTATACTAGTGGAAGATGCTTGCCTGAGAGGCCAGCTAGCCTTCAGAACTTTGTTTTTTAAGGTTTCTAGAAGAAAACCATGCTCAATGTTTTACAGGTTTTCACTTGGGGTCATCCATACCCTCCTTAGGATGGGGGTTTTGCCTTTTAACTAAGTAGTATTTGTAGGATAATGAGGTTCTACTAATGATACTACCAGGAAATCTATCAAGTCTAAGCCTCCCCTAGTTCAGGGGACTTAATCATATGTTAACTGGCATTCATTACATGTTAGACCAGATTAATATGCCCAGGATTAGTAAATTAGGATAAAATGGTAATTTACTACCATGAGATTTTTAATAGACCTTTCTTAAAGTCTACCTTTATGTAGTCCAATATAAGTAGTCAAATGTGTAGATTAGGGGTCTTGCTCTGTTGCCCAGGCTGGAGGGCAGTGGCATGATCATAGCTCATTGCAGCTTCAAACGGCTCAGGTGATCCTCCTGCCTCAGCCTCTTGAGTAGCTAGGACTACAGGTACATGCCACCATATCTGGCTGGAATAGATCCTTAATTGCTGAAAAAAATTGAGGATGACAAGCATTTGACAATAGTTCCTTCACAGTATTCCTATTTCAGGGCTGACGGCAAAGTATTCCAGGCTTTAGAAAACTCAGACTAGGAAGCTTAGGGGAGACACTAAACTTGGTGTCTGCAGCACCTGTTTGAAGCGCCAACCCATGTCTCAACAACATGGGTAGCTTCATCAGTAGAGAGATGGATTCCACTAGAAATAAATCAGAAAAGCAAAAATCATTTAGGTACTAAGAATAAGCAGCATTTGTTTCTAGACTAAAAAGGAAGAGAGGCAAAGGATAGTTGGACAACCCACTATTTCTTTCTTTTTTTTTTTTTTTGAGTTGGAGTCTCACTTGGTCGCCCAGACTGGAGTGCAGTGGCCCCTCCCGGCCACTGCAGCCTCGACCTGCTGGGCTCCGAAGATCCTTCCACCTCAGCCTTCCGAGTAGCTGGAATTACAGGCATGCACTACCACGCCCGGCTGATTTTTTGATTTATTGTAGAGATGAGGTCTCGCCTGCCCAGGCGGGTCTCGAACCCGCGGGCTCCCAAAGGCGCGGGATTACAGGCTGAGCCACTGAGCCCGGCTCAACCCACTATTTCTAACTTCTTATAAGGGTAGCAAAAACAGTAATTTATCTTCTCCATTTTGCATTTCTTTTCTTTCTTTCTTTTTTTTTTTTTTTTTTTGAGACAAGGCCTCACTATGTTGCCCAAGCACTATGTTGAGCTCCTGGCATCAAGCGATCCTCCCACCTCAGCCTCCCAAAGTGCTGGGATTACATGTATGAGCCACCATGCCTGGCCTATTTTGCATTTCTTAATTAAATAGTTAAGTGATCCAAAATTACATATTTTTGTCTTAGTAAAATAATTATATGCTGGAGGACAACCTAGTCTTTTTTTTTTTTTTTTAATGATAGTTCTTGTAACACGATATTGGAAAATATTGAAGAAAATTCAGTGCCTATGCATTAACCTGTTGTTCACTTCATTGTAATTGTGTAAGTGTTATCTGATCTCACCTGACCAAACAGCCAACTTTAAGGTTCTGAAATCTGCAAATGTGGTGTACCTTCTAGGGAGTGGGCCTGTTCCCCTTACCGGAGGTTCTCAGTCAGAATAGACATCCTCACTGTCAGAGCTATGTAGAGGACTCAGGCAGTGGATGGGTGTTCAGACTGGATTATTTTTAAGGGCCTTAGAAACCTTAAGTAGAGAGTGGACTGCCTGAGCCTGCGGGTTCGAGACCCGCCTGGGCAACTTGGCAAGACCTCATCTCTACAGTAAATCAAAAACTTAGCCGGGTGTGGTAGCTCGCACCTGTAGTTCCAGCTACTTGGAAGACTGAGGCAGAAGGATCGCAGGAGCCCAGCAGGGCGAGGCTGCGGTGGTCAGGACGACTGGCTGTCGTCCAGTCTGGGCGACAGAGTGAGACTCCGACTCAAAAAGAAAAAAAAAAAAGAAATCTTAAGTAGAATAAGATACAGCCAAAATAATTTAAGGCAAAACTCTACAAATAAAGTAGAGAAAAATCCCTGAAGCCCCCCCAAAAAGAAAAAAATGAATACATAATTAGGAAATTAAAAAGCTAAGCAATCTCGTTATTAAAGTTACATTAATAATTCTTGTAATTAAAGCAGTTTTTTAAAAAACAGACTACTATTATTTTATTCCTTTCTCTCTGGAAAATGAAAACTCCATTAGTTTCTTTCTTTTGCTTTTACCCAGAAATTAAAGGTTGGTAAGTGGTAATTAACAAAGCTCCTGTCAAAGCTAACTGCCTAATGGGGACCGACATTTGACTTCGTTTGAAAGAATGGAATATGGCTGATGTAGAGTTCATTAGTCCCCGCTGCTTTCTCTGACATTCTTTTCTCCTACCATAAGATCAGGCATGCCCTGCTGTCTCTCTCCTATCTTTTTTTTTTTTTTTTTTGAGGTGGAGTCTCACTCTGTTGCCCAGACTGGAATGCAGTGGCACTCTCCCGGCCACCGCAGCCTCGACCTGCTGGGCTCCAGCGATCCTTCCGCCTCAGCCTTCCAAGTAGCTGGAACTACAGGCATGCACTACCATGCCCAGCTGATTTTTGATTTTATTGTAGAGATGAGGTCTCGCCAAGATGCCCAGGCGGGTCTCGAACCCGTGGGCTCAGGCAATCCACTCACCTCAGCCTCCCAAAATGCTGGATTACAGGCTCTTTTTCCTATCTTTAGACACATTGCTGTGCTGCTGTTTCTATTCTGCAAGGCCTGCAGGCACAGTGGTAAGGGAAAGTAAACAGTACCAGGGGCAATGTGTTTGCATCCACATTCACTACTGTGGCCTGGGGTTTGCAGACTAACATCTATGCTTTACAGCCTTCTTGATAGAGGCCTCCTGCCCCATCTCTTCTGCCTCCTCAAAATGAAAGAGAACCATGCTTCTCTGTCTACTATGTGCTAGGTACTGGGCTCTTCCTTCTACACTACTTCATTTAACCCTTTCAACCTTGGAGCTTTAGAACCAAAGGTTCTGAGACGTTAGACTCAGTGCAGGTTTGTTTCACTCCCAAATTCACAGTACTTTTTCCATGATTCTATCCAGTTGAGGTGCTTGGTGGGTTTGCTAAAAGTATAGAATAACAATACCAACACCCACACCAGTCAACTGAAGCTCTGTGTATCTGACAGAAATAAAAATTTTTTTATTTTTTTTATTGAGTTGGAGTCTCACTCTGTGGCCCAGGCTGGAGTGCAGTGGCATGCTCACGGCCATTGCAGCTTCGACCTGCTGGGCTCAGGTGATCCTTCCACCATAGCTTTCCAAGTAGCTGGAACTACAGGTATGTGCCACCACACCCAGCTAACTTTTTATTTTATTGTAGAGACGAGGTCTTGCCAAGTTGCCCAGGCTGGTCTCAAACCAGTTCTCTCACCTCTGTCTCCCAAAGTGCTGGGATTACAGGCGTGAGCCACCATGCCTGGCAGAAAGAAAATATTTGTAATTTAGGAGGGTAGAGATGAATGAAGGTGTCAATATAATTGATGATAGAGACACCACTCTGTATTTCTGGAATGCAGTCTACTACCAAGCAAGTCATAAGGTGTTCATGGAGGCTTATTTTTTACTCCGACACCACCAGCACAATGTCTGTGGGTGGAAATGCTTTGGTAATGAACTTGTACCTATATTGGGCCTTTCCCAGTTGGAGAGAATTCCAACTTATTATACTGTAAAACTAGTGATCTGGGCCGGGTTCGGTGGCTCAGCCTGTAATCCCAGCACTTTGGAAGGCAGAGGTGAGAGAACTGCTTTGAGACCAGCCTGGGCAACTTGGCAAGACTTCGGGAGGCTGAGGCGAGTAGATTGCCGAGCCCATGGGTTTGAGACCAATCCGGGCAACTTGGCGAGACCTCATCTCTACAATAAATAAATAAAAAATTAGCTGGGTATGGTAGTGTGTGCCTGTAGTTACAGATACTTGGAAGGCTGAGGCGGAAGGATCGCCAGAGCCGGGCAGGTCGACGCTGGGGGTGACAATTTGTGCCACTGTACTCCCCCCCTGGGCAACAAAGTGAGACTCCAACTCAAAACACAAAAAACAAAAAAACCCTCCAAAAACCAGTGATCTGGGTGTAGCATACAGAAATGGATGGACCTAAGAGAAACTGCAGAGAAGTGGGATGAGCGCCAGAACTAGACCTGCCTGTGAATCCTAGGCCTCTAATTAATTAGCCTTGTAACATGAGGCAAGTAGCACTGAACCTCACTGAGCCCAACTTTGCTCATGGATAAAATGACAGATGACAAGCTAAGTACCCTGCTTAGCTCACCCAGATTTGGGAGGCTTGATTGTGTGAAGTGCTAACATACAGCAGACTACAGAATCCTAGAGAAATCCTCAATGGGCACTACTGCTCCTCCAGGGGCATTTTGGAAATGTGTGGAGATGCTTTTAGTAGTCTTAGTCACTAGAGGTTGCTCCTGGCATTGAGTGGGTCGGGGGTGGGATGCTAGTTTTCCTGCTATGCATAGGACAGGAAGAATTGTCCCATATCCTGCATGACACTCGGATGTCATCTTGGACATTCGTATGAATGAAAACCTGTTTAACATTATCATAGCCTGAAACCTAATTCTGTTTCATATATCAACACAAAGTGGTTTTTTTTGTTGTTTTTCAGTTTTAATGTATCCTGAATTTTCTGGGAATGTAGCTACTTATAGTCAAGGTTTGATATGTTATTTTGTTCAGAACTTTACTGTTCTGGTAAGTCCCGCTGCCAAGGGCAATGCTGCTGGTAGTACTTGAGCTGATAATCACTGCACATTCATGCCAGACTGCCTCTGTCAAATGCTTGGTGATTTGACCCGGCACGGTGGCTCATACCTGTAATCCCATCACTTTGGGAGGTGGAGGTGAGGATTGCCTGAGCCTAGGGGTTTGAGACCAGCCTGGGGAACTTGGCAAGTTCTTGTTTCTACAATAAATAAAAAAAATGAGCAAGGCACGGTGGCATGTGCTTGAAGTTCCAGCTACTTGGAAGGCTAAGGTGGAAGGATCGCCAGAGCCCAGCAGGTTGAGGCTGTGGTGGCTGTGAGCATGCCACTGCACTCCAGCCTGGGTGAGAGTGGGACGCCAACTTAAAAAAAAAAGCACAATGATTCACAGTATAGTACAAGCATCTGACAGCCTCAACGTGCCTCTGGTCATGCCAGATGACATACATGCCGTTTTATGGGAAATTACTTTCCTCTTGCATCTGAAATATTACATTTGCAGTATTATATTGATGCCTCTGTAATATGAGTGTAGGTAGGTAATCAGCTTCTATTTAAGGACAATTAAAGAGGCATGCAACAAAAGCTATAAAAAAAGAAAATGCTGGGGCTAGTAAGTGAGAATGGTGGAGTAGGCATTAGGAGAAGGATGCTGAATAGATCTAGCCCTCCTTGAAGAAGATCACAGGAGAAAGAAACAGTTCTTTTTGTTCTGTTTGTTTTTCTGCACCTCATCTTCACCCTGGAACTTATTATATTTATTTACTTAATAACTAGCCAATGTATCTATAATAACATTCTATTTTCCCTTAAGCATGCATAAAAAAAGACAAATAAGTCAGTGATAACTGATCATTTTTTCCCTGTCAGAGTGTTTTATAGGCCGGGCATGGTGGCTCACACCTGTAATCCCAGAACTTTGGGAGGCCAAAGTGAGAGGATTATCTGAGGATTGCCTGAGCCCATAGGTTCAAGACCAGCCTGTGCAACTTGGCAAGACCTCATCTCTACAAAATCAGAAAATTAGCCGGGTGTGGTGGCACGCACTTGTAGTTCCAGCTACTTGGAAGGCTAAGGTGGAGGATCACCTGAGCCCAGCGGGTCAAGGCTGCATTGGCTGTGAGTGTGCCACTGCACCCCAGCCTGGGCGACAGAGTGAGACTCAGACTCAAAAAAAAAAAAAAAAAAAGTGTTTTGTAGATTACAAAATCTGCGGAACAAGTCTGTTCAGAAACAAGAGGTACACAAACCAGAAGTGCCCTGCTTTGTACCCAAAGAAGACTTGGAGTCATAGCGCATGGAAATTGCTTTAATGACCTTTATACCCCCTGCTGATAAAACATATTAGAAAACTGAAGTTTCACAGTGATAACAGATATAATTTCACAATACTGAATCAGATATTAGAAATGGTAAAGTCGACTCTCTGTATGTCCCTGTGGTCTGCAAACTTAATATGTGCCTTTAAACAAACGAATCCATTAACTTGAGAAACAAGTTTGTTGCCATAAGCAACACTCTATGTCACCCTCTCTACCATTATCTGTGCTTAAAACTCTGTAGTGATCTTTTGAATAAGGATAATGAGTCTAAAATACGACCATTTCTTCTCACCGTCCTTGACAATGACCTTTATGTTCTCTGTAAATATAAGCATGTGTAATTAGAGGAGATTGCCTATTGTTGGTACAGCCGTATCATTCAAAGTTGGTGGAAGAGTTTCTGTGGAGACCTGGATTAGCTTTTCTGCAGGAGACATAAAGCCAATCTTCCAGTCTGTTCTATTACATGCTCTCAGGCAGGGAGGAGGTCAATAATGATGGTCAAATAATCAGGCTGAGGGCATCTACAGATAACAAAACAAGGCCACAGGGGTTTCCTTGGCATATTTCCAGCTGTAGCTATGTGGGATCTTGTCTGGTTCGTTTAGGATTCTGCAGCTCTCCAGGTAGTGAGTTCTTCCTTGCTGAAATATTCCTGAGGGAATGCAAGCTCTGTATCTGCTGCAGGCGCAGGGCGAGCTCCTTATTACAGGCCTGTTGGACACTTTCTGTCTTCTTTATGTCCCAGTTCAAAGCCACAGCCAGTGCTTTGGGGTCTTCCTTGGTAACCAACTGCAGCAAGAATAAGAACCACTGAGAACTATGACTTCCGTGATCCTCACCTGCAGCTCTCGAGATTTCTTTTTTTTGGGTAGAGACAGGGTCTTGCTCTGTTGCCTAGGCTAGTCTTGAACTCCTGGCCTCAGCCTCCCAAAGTGCTGGGATTATAGGCGTGAGCCACCACGCCTGGCATTGAGTTTTTTTTTTTTTAAGGGAGAGAAATTAGGCACTATCAGTTTATGTTATCTCTTTTTTTTTTGAGTTGGGTGACTCTGTCACCCAGACCGGAGTGCAATGGCCACTCCCGGCCACCATAGCTTTGATCTGCTGGGCTCCCGCGATCCTTCCACCTCAGCCTTCCAAGTAACTGGAACTACAGGTGCGCGCTACCACGCCCGGCTAATTTTTTTGATTTACTGTAGAGATGAGGGCTTGCCAAGTTGCCCAGGCGGGTCTCGAACCTGCAGGCTCAGGCAATCCACTCACCTCAGCCTCCCAAAGGCGTGGGATTATAGGCTGAGCCACCAAGCCCGACTTAGTTTATGTTATCTCTTAACACTGAAATGCCAGTTTTCTTTCACAGTAAACTGTCATGTGCCTTTTCTTACAATACCAACAGGAAAGGATCCTTGGAGAGAAGCCTACTTGGAAGGACTCTAAAGTCCTCACCTATAGGAAGTTTAGCCAAGCTCAAGTCAACATCGTTTCCTTCCCTTCTGGCTACAACAGGGAGGTACTTGGGACAGGGATGAGGACAAAGAATAAGCAGTAGCACCCACCCCAATGGGTTCCTTTCCTCAAGCCTCTAGTTTCCTGGTCTTAGACAGCCAGCACATGATGGTCCCTTCAGGTCTGCCTTTTCATGAGATAATTACAGGCCCTAGGCATGACTGGGTTTTCTCTGACCATTGGCAGAACTGGAAGCCATCTCAGAAGATGGAGCCTGCTATTCCTCCTGTCAAGTTGTCATTTCACTACTGACCTTGGACCAGTCACTGTTTGATGATCTGAGGAAGTATACCCATTTTTTAAAAAGCCACTTTGATTAAGATTAAATGAGATGCTCGTAAATTCTTTGATATGTAATAAGCAAACTGGGAGCTATGAATCAGAGTCTGCAGAGGTGAACAAAAGCCCCCTACGTGCCTCTGCATGCTAGTACTGCACCTTCTGGGTGAGTCATTCTCTGCAGTTCAGTGACCCTGGTTTTCGCCCACCTCCAAATCCTGACTAGACAAACTCAGCTCTGGAGCAGGCTTCTCCTTCAGTGCAGTGAGGATATGGCTTGTCAGTGCAATTTCAGAGACCTCTCTGCTGATCCCCGTGTCCACCACATCCGCCTCTTCACCAAAGGCAGCTTTGGACTCTGCAAAGCAGACGTGAGACAGAAATCAGCATGCTGCGTGATCATGCAGCCATACAACCAACCAACCAACCAACCAACCAGAGTAATCTGTCAGGTGAGAGAGAAACGTGTCATTCCAAGATCGCAGGAGCTGCAGCTTCAGGGTTTCTGGCTGCATTGCAAACACAGGGTCCCCTCTCAAGGAAAGGCTCCCTGGCCCTGAGTTCTCAGCGTAACTCCCCTGGCACAGAGCCCTACCTTCCTGCTTTGACAAGAGGCCACCCTCCTTCTCCAAGGCCTGGAGATAAAGCTCCAGGAGCTGCTTGGACTGACGGGCTTCCTCTCTTTGATCAAGCACCTGCTGGAGTGTGTTCTGCAGCCCCTGGACGGTGGCACAACTTTGGTGTAATTCTTCAGCCAGGTCTGAACATGGAACATCGATGAGCACCTAGCAAACAAACACAGACTCTAAGAAATCTAAAAGCGCTTTCTAAAGAGGACGTTTTAGTTAAGTTTTATAGTGCATCAATTTCTGAACAGGTAATATTAACATACTCACTAGGTTCAAAATTCAAGAGGCGTGAACCCCATGAAGTAGGTACTAGCATTTCCCCCATTGTACAAAGCAGGAAATGGAGCGGGAAAGTGACTTCTCAAGAATCACTGTCAGTTCCAGTCTTCCTACTGCATGCAATTAATCCCTGTGTTCTTCCCTTCCCTCCCACCTGTCCTCATGGCCCCAAGTCCCTGAGATGGTGGCACTTCCTCTATCTTTGGGTGGCCAATTCTATAAGCTTCCTGCTGGAGCCTGGCTATCAGGGTTCAGACAGACACACTCACTCATATTCTGATTTTGTGAGCCTGCTGTGCTCCGTATTCTAAGGGTAGAGCATAACATGCTAGACTGCTGGGATGGGAAAGGACCTCACAGCCCCTCTGTTTTTCTTTTTATTTGAGTTGGGAGTCTCACTTCGTCACCCAGACTGGAGTGCAGTGGCACGCTCGCGGCCACCGTAGCCTCAAACTGCTGGGCTCCGGCGATCCTTCCGCCTCAGCCTTTCCAAGTAGCTGGAGCTATAGGCATTCACCACATGCCCAGCTAATTTTTTGGTTTACTGTAGAGATGAGGTATCACCAAGTTGCCCAGGGTGGTTTTAAACCTCTGGACTCAGGCAATTCTCTTGCCTCTGCCTCCCAAAGTGCTGGGATTACAGGTGTGAGCCACCATGCCTGGAGACACTATACTTTTTTTTTTTGAGTTGGGAGTCTCACTCTGTCGCCCAGACTGGAGTACAGTGGCCGCTCCCAGTCACTGCAGCCTC